TGGGAGGATTTTTTTATTTTTGTTATCCGTTCACCAATGAACCGCTGACTCGTCCTCCGTCCCCCCCAGCAGTTAGTCTGGTTTACCTTGACCCTCCTCTCGGTCAGGATGGAAGACGAGGCTGCGTTCGCCGTCCTCACCTTCAGATGGTTTCTCTGAAATCTGCTGCGTCCCGTCTCCTCTGTTGTTGTTCAGGTGAAAGTGAGGACGTTACACATGAAAAGTCTTTGCACACGAAGGACATCAGATAGAAACATGGATCAATGTTTGTTCTGCAGATAAAAGCTTTGATTTATTTATCGATTAGTTAAATTCATCATATGATTCATCAGACATCTTCACAAGCACGGTATCAGCAGTGACCAAACATCTGACGTGTTGTGATCATGGACGTCGCCATGTTCTCAGTCAGTCACATTATCATTTCATTGTCTCACGATCCTGACGACCGTCAGACCAAGTTTTAAATCCATCATCTGACAGTTTGAGCCTCGGGGCCGAGTGTCCTCTCAAACCTGTGTGATGTGGATTTCCCACCATGCAGTGTTCTGTGTAAAGATTCCGTGAGATGACCATCGGCTACTCTCCTGCTTCCTGTTTTATTCTCTCTGACGGGTGCAACACTCTGCTGCTTGTGTCTGCGTGACGCATCCGGTGCGAGCTGCAGGCGTCAGCGATGCATCGCTGCACAGTGTTTCTGGTGTGTGTGGACTCCAGCAGACGACACTCAGCACAATTAGACGTTTGGGGAGTTGTCAACTTTCTGTAACAGACTCGTTTATCAGTGAGGTTCATTCATTTTGATGAAATGGTGAATTAATCAGCCACTTTCTATTTGTGTCCAGTGTGAACGCACATACTCGACCAGCTGCATTCAGCGTCTTTGTCTGATTTCTATGAGCTCGATGAACGAACGACTGAGACCAGCAGAGACGCTCCAGCTCCGTCTTTTTGTGTAAACTTGAAATAGTCTGGGTGGTGCTGTTCTAAATAATATTGTGTGATGGCATATGTGTCGAACACGTGCTCACACACACACACACACACACTTTGGCTCATCAATGAAAGTCGGTCAGAGGGTGGGGGGGTTCCGGCCTCTCCCCATGCTCTGCCAGGCCATCTGTTCCTCCTGCCTCCCTCTCACAACACAACTGCCTTCCTGTTTCATCCTCTTCTTCTGCTGCACACACACACACACACACAGAAGAAGAAGAAGAAGAGTTTTGTATCATCTGAGTGAGATGAGTTTATTATCTGAGAGATGATTTTCTGGCGCGGACACTCATTGCAAATGTTTGTGTTTTCCGACGCCAAGCAGAACCTCGCCCATGCCGCCAAGGTCGTCAACAAACGACGGCCCCGTTTTTTTTTCTTCAGTCGAATGAGAGCTGAGCTGTGTGTGTGAAGCTGATGCTGCCATTAGAGGTGTGTCTCTTTGTGTGAAGCTCACGTTTCCGTGGTTTGAGACAAGGACACAGGAAGTCCTCAGGTTTTGAAAGTGTTCAGTTAGTGTTGAATGTGATTTTGCTCCAGAGACATTAGTTAAGACACAGAACTTGTTTATTTTACTAAAGGTACTGACAGATTATGAGACAGTGGAGCACTGGACATGAAGGGTCCAGTTCTTTCTCTCCTTGTCTTCCTTTTGCATTTGCTCGGATTTTCCTCCCCCTTTCTCGCTCACTCTCTCTTTTGCTCTTGCTTGCTCTCTCATGCCCGCTCTCTCGCTCCCCTCTCTCTCTTTTGCTCCCTCTTGTTTCCTCTCTCTTGCTCCCTCCCTCGCTCTCTCTGTCTCTTTTGCTTTCTCTTGCTCTCTCTCTCTCTCACTTCTTCACTTGCTCTTGGTCTCTCTCTCTGTCTCTCGCTGTTTCTTGCGCTCTCCCTCTCTCTCTCTGGTGGTGCGAGCTTGGTGTGGACTTGGTTTCAGGCCTGGTGCTGTTGGCTGATCTCCAGCCTGGCAGCAGCTCAGTGGGAGCAGGTGGAGCCCCCCCCCTCTCTCTCTCTCTCTCTCGCTCGCTCACACACACACAGGTTGTGGTCCCACAGTATTTTTTACTGACATCAACCCGTTTCCATGGTGATGTCTGTGTTGGGTTCTTGACCTTCTATTCACGTCTGATTGGTCGCCTGGTTTTGAGAGTTGTCTTCAGTCGGTTTCCTGTGACGACGTCTGTTGAGACAATGGAGCAGTTTGCTTCAGTCGTGAGGATTTTCAGTGAAAACTATTCTTTCTGAAACTTTCACGCTGCCGGCAGCAGCAGCTCGTCTCTGCAGAACAAATGTCCTGGTTCAACACCACGTTTCACTCATACATTTTCTATGAACGATATAAAGTGAGTCCCCTGTGTGCAGGGACGTGTGCAGAAATTCTGAAGAACAAAGGGCACCCCCCCCCCCGAGCGTCCTTCTTGACTCACTGAGTGATTCAAGACACTGATTTGTTCTGAAGTGTCCCTCAACGTTTTTTATGGCTCTGTGTCACTTTTCTGTGACCTGTAGACACACGTCAGTCAAAAATAATAAAGGTGTGGACATTTGATCTGGTCAAACTAGAAATCAAGTCAAGTTTATTTAAAAAGCACATTTAAAACAATAAAAAGTAAGAAGTACAAGAATGAAATTAAAATAAAGTCAAAGGCAAAAAATGGAAAATGTGAGACGCTTGAGAAGACTCTCTAATGTGTCAAAGGACGGAGAAGTCTTCCATCACATTAAACTCTCGACCAATAAGGGACGAACCGGGATCAGCTGCTCGGTGGCTCTGAGGGATGTAAAATGTCTCCTTGGTAAATGGCTGCAGGAGTAGAACCGGGAACAGGAGCTGTGAGATGAGTCTGTGGACCTCTTCAGGCTTTAAAACAAATAAGAGAAGCTTATCCTGAATTCCAGCCTGTACTTCGTATACTTGTGTATTTGCAGCAGGAGGGGAAGATGGGCTGGTGCTGCGGAACCTCCAGCCGAGCGCTGGTGCTCATCGTTACCGTGTTTGTTCAGAGTAACAGAGTCTGGGTCTGGAAACTGAGGTCGCTGTTGAATCTTTCATTTGAGTGTCATTTAAATACTGAGAAGAATTCTAAGAGATACTGTAAATACTGTTTACTCACATGTTAATAATTTCACAACCTTTTCACCTGTAAATAATTCAATAATAATTAAAGCAGTAAATTTGTAATGAATCATTCAACAAATCAAGTTCATCTTCAGGTAAACTCAAATTAAGATGATCAATAATTAGATTAGCTGCAGTTTAACTATTTATTTTACAGATGTAAATTATATTTTATTTATTAATAATAATAAAGATGGCTTGAGTTTATATAGCGCCTTTCATGGGACCCAAGGACACTTTACACCAGTGTGTGAGGACAAGACAGAAGAGAAAAGATGAAGTAATAACAGGATCATATTAAGCAGCGGGGACGATCATTGACTGAGGTTAAAGTCCTTCATGAAGAGGTGCTGCTCAAGGAGTGATCAGTGTTGTGTATTTCAGCAGGGAGAGAGTTCCAGAGGGATGTTCTGTAAGTGTTAATCTTTAAAAACATAAACAGCTCGACTGAGAATTTTAAAAGGTTCTGAGTCTCTAAAGGGATTTGAATGTTCTTTACTGGTCCTTAAGTCGTGGTCGATGTGCAGATGATAACACAGCAGGACGTTGAGTTTCTGTCTGTTCACACAATTCACTGCTGTAGTTTGATCCCGTCATCTCTAGATGGCGCCTCAGGTTCTTTTTCTGATGAGTTCATCAACAGAAACATGAAGTTTACTGAGAAACGTGAGGTTAATTCTTCATCTGTGTCGAACAAACAATGAAGACAGAACGTTCAGTGAAGCTGTAATGAGTTGAGATGTGGAGGAGGACCTGAAAACATGACCACCTGTCAAACCTGGACGTCCGTGACTGAGATTCTACTGACGACACTGATGAAACAAAGACCCTGAGGGAGCTGGATTCTGAAGCTTCTCATGTTGTGAGCCACACATGCTGAAAATCATCAGACCCGGAATATTCATATTTAAATGAACCCACTCAGAAGCAGTAATATTAAATTACTGTTAATACATGAATGTATTAGAAGTATTATCATGTCTTGTAGTACTCTTAGTTGTAGTATGGAGTATTTCTTTCATGTGGTTTTAAAGAATCCACATACTTTGTCCACGTCTTTAGTTACAGACTCGTCTTTCGCTGAAGACGATCCTGTCTCCAACCAGTTAATAGACTGGTCCTGGATTTAAATCAGAATCATCACAGTCTACCTGCAGCACTGAGCTGTTGTTATATCATACATTATATTATGTTGACATTTGTTTATATACTTTTTATATTTCTGTTCATTAGTTCAGTATTTCTCTTCTTGGTTGGAGCCGGTCAAAAGGAAAAGAATAGAAATGTTCATTGTCCTCTTGAAAATTTGCTGAGCACGTTTACAGATGAGTGTAACTGACACAGTAAACTGAGCCTGTMAACATTTAGATTTAAGTTAAGATCTCAACGTGCTCCCTGAGTTCACAGTAACAGACGTCAGATTCAGAACAAACGTCACAGCGTGAATTAAATCTGCAGTTTAGATTCGTGTCATAGACACAGTACCTGTTGAGTCTGTAAACTCAGGTGATTCACTCACAAATGATGAATCTGAGTTTTCACCTGATTCCTGTGGGTGTGAAGCTGCTCCTGTGTGAGCGTCTGAGCTCCATGATTACTAAGATTAGTGATCATATCCAGAGAAAATAACTAAACAATTTAATTGCTGTAATCTAATTACCTTCTCTTTGTCTTGACCTTCATTGCTGAGACGTTGTTTAGCCAGTTAATAACGTGCTGCCGCAGCTCCCGTGTGTTTGAGAGAAGTAAATCTGCAGATTGTCTTGTTAAATCACACCGGCTGTCCTTCTATTAACATAAAAGCTTCTGTTCATTAACCTCGGACGACTCGTCGCTCGCCGCCTGCAGCCGGGGACGAGTGAAACGCCGCAGAGGAGGAGATCAGCTCAGGTCAACACAAGTGTTCACGTTTATTTAGAAAGAGCCTCAAACAAACAGAAGCTTCACAAGACAAACTCGTGACGCGCTGAGTTTACAGGAAAATAATTACAGGTCAAAGGTCAAAGCTCTAAACTGGGAAAGTTAGGTTTGTTTTTATTTTTTCAATGAACAGGAGCTAAATCAAATCCACTTAATTACACCTGATGAATTTCTAACCATCTGTGAAGCTGCGTTGATCTCACCGTTCTCGTCACGGTGCGGAAACATGACTTCCTCCATCTCAGGCCTCCTGCCGGACTCTGACTGGTTCCCCAGGAACAGAGGCGTCAGTGAGAGCAGCACCAGAACAGTTTGGAACAAGTGGACAGATCGAGACGTGTGGAACCGGAGCAGTGAAGATCTCCTGTCCAGAAGACTGGTTCTCCTCCTGGATTAAAACCCAAGCAGCAGAATTCCCAGGTTCAATAATCACGTTTTCACTGAAGGTTGCCGATTGGGGGTGTGGTTACCTGGTGACTCTACACTGACGTAGCCTGCGGACAATGTCCCCAGAGTTGGGTCCAGACTTTCTGTCCCACGTGCAGCTTCAGAGTCCGGAGCAACTTCAGAGCTGTGACACGTGTCAAACACGATGTGATGGTTTCACGTGCACGCGCGGGCCTTTCATAAGGTCCGTGTCTTTTCCACGTGACTTTGTGTGAGGGTGTGAACGAGCATCCTTCTCTCTGAGCCGCAGCCGGACTGTGCGCGGGATGAGCGCGATTCAGGTGCGTGATGAGCGGCTGGTCGTGCGTGTGAACACTTTGTCTCCGCTCCCTTTCATACATGCACGCGCAGTTCTCCTCAAAAACTCCACGCGGGGAAACGCACGCGTGCAGCGTGCATAGATAAGCGGGAACCGGAGCACCGACTCCGCTCCCCGCCCCCTGCTGCAGGGCTGCAGCTGCGCCCCCATGCACGGAGCAGGCTGAACCGTGCTGTACCGGGTCACACCGAGCTGAACCGGGTTATGTGCTTCCAGCGGGACAGGAAGGAGAAACCGAAGAGGAGGAGTTGCTGTGGACATAAACAAACACACAAGAGACTGATGCAACTTCTGCAGAGTCCGTGACCCGAGCCGAGCCGAGCCGAGCAGGACACGGAGAGAAGCACGAGCCGCTGAACCGAGCCAGCACCGAGCCAGCACCGAGCCAGCACCGAGCTCAGTCTGGATTCATCCCGGAGCTGCGGAGCGTTTTCACCGTTAATCAACGTTTTATCTGCGGAGGCATCAAACTTTGTCACCGGCTCTTCAATGTTTACCATGGTGAGCACGTGTCCGTGTGGAGATCGATGATGGATCCTCGGTGTCTCTGCTCATCATAGTTATTCATCGATCGACACACGGGGTCTGAGGAATGCGGTGCACGAGCGCGTTCTCGTGTGCGCGTACACCACGGGAACTTCTTCCCCCTTCTTCTACTTTAATTTGTCCAATCAGACGCTGATCTGACGTTCAAATTCCTCGGGTTCGTCCAATTACGGCGCAGTCAGAGATCGGAGCGGTGACGTGGCGGGTCCTGATTGGCTGACACTGCAGGTAGAGGCGGTGTCGGTCCACAAAGATGTGAAATGACAAATGTGCGCGTGTCATTGATTTCTTAGATGTGTTTCCTGTTAAAGTCCTACACGGTTTAATTGATACTATAGTTATTATATAATGATATAAAGCTGGTTGTCCTCAGGACGTTCAGTCACTCTAGAGACGTTTTGTCTCCGGAGTTATTCAAACCTGCTGTTATTAAACTCTGCATGTCTCTTGTTTACTTTCTATTTTCACTTTAAATGACTGATAATGTTCCTTTAGGGATTTCAACTTCTAGCGAGTGTATTGTGATTTATTATTCTCTCATCGTCCATGATGTTAAAATAAGATTATGTGATGCCTGCATGTAGGGATTTCACACGTTGTCCTCTGCTCTCAGGTCAGTTCTTACAGAGTCAACGCAGCATCGCTGCAGTGATGGTCAGTTGTACATCATCGTCAGTGCGTTGTACTGAATTAGATTTTATCTCTGAAATATGGACATAATACACAGATTTACAGTGTGTGTGTAATGAGTTCAGTTTTCAGGATTGTGGTTGTTGATATTTTCCCTGGCTGTGGTTACAGTGTGTAAAGTGTGTGTGGTTCTCACTGGTGGTTTATTTCTCCTCGTCGTTAATGATCCTATGGGGACGATCTCAGTGTCTGTGGCTTTACAGAGGCTTTGTTGAATTTTATGGAAACTCCTATAGCATCTCTACCGACTAATATTCCTCTTATATCCCTGTAAAGATATTTTATAGAGTGTGGTGCTCAGTGTTTACAGTAATCTCTGTTTTTACCAGGAGACCGACACTCACTAATTCTAGGCCACATCATCTCAGCTGATGGTGTCTGTTGTGTATTTTCTGATTCTCAGTAGAGTGAGCTCAGTGTGGATATGTAGGGGGCGCTGTTCCATGGCTCTGTGTGATCTGTGGATCCTCACAAAGAGGAACATTTTTCACTCGGAGGCGTGAAGTCTCTAAATGGACGTTTGGAATTTAGGAGACTTTTTACTTTTTCATCCGTTTATCTGAACATGTGACGGAAACATGAGTTGAATCTGTTTATTGAACAGAACATCTTAACAAAATAATACTGAACTTCTGCCTTTAAAGCAGAATTTAACAGATCTGGACATTTTCTCCAGCTGCTGCTTTTTCACTATTGTTTCACGTTCACATCCAGAAGTTCATTTTCTTTAGGAGATGCTCCAGGATCAGTGTATGAAGATAACAAGACCTTATGGGATTATATATAAATATCATCACTTTCAGGACATTACCAGGGTCTGTGGTCTCATCCACGACAGAAGTGTTTCACTATAACACATAAAATGACTTTAAAGAATGAGGCGTGGAGTATGATTTTACAAAGACATGTAAAAACACCTCAGAAAACAGAATCTGTGTAATAAAGATAATAAATAAGCAGATAATAGATTCAATAAAAAGATAAGATGAGAAAAGTTTAAAGTTTTATATTGTAGGTGACTTTAGCCTCCTGTACGTGTGTGTGTGTGTGTGTGTGTGTGTGTGTGTGTGTGTGT